GTATTTTTCAGCATTTTCAACTTTCAAACATTGTAGCAATATGTTGAATAAAGAAGTATGTGAAAGATCTGACAAGATACAAGATGACTGAAAAATATATGAACTTTTCCAATATAACTGCATGCAGTAATATTGGATTTTCCATTAGAAAGCTCTTGACTTTTCTCAAGGTGATTCTGACTTCAGTTTTTAAGCTGAGATCTGATGTGCACAGATGTTCTCCATCTAATCTGACAGTCCTTTGAGTTATTTTGAAGAGAACTGTGGAAACAATTCGAGTCACTCAAAGTGCAAAAGAGCAAAATATTTTCCTTCCTCTTTGCAAATGTTTGCTGCTTTTTTGTTGCTCTGTAAAATAAAATCCCAATTAAATACATTCAAGTTTGTGGCTGGAATGTGACAGAGAAGCTAGAACTGAATCAGAAACGTCCTGTTTCCATGCCTTAAATGATCAAACATGTTAAGTTACAACCAATTCCTGATCAAAGACTTCTTAAAACTGTCCTTCTGATTGGTTTGATTGTATAAAAGCTCACCAAATTGAAAACTTACATTGCTTTCTTTTGGTCACAACTACACAAAAAATGTACAAGAATATTGACCTATTTTTGATCAAAACCGAAAGTTTTGTTTGAGTTGACTCATTTAAAGCAGGTTTTGTGCATACTGCAGATCTTGGCCATGCATGCTGTAATAATTGTGTTTCTAAACATTTAAGTTGCTGTTAATGGTTTGTATAAGAAATCTCCTGTAAATGCTGTTTTTGTGCTTGTAACAGTCCTTGATTAAAGCAGATGAGGTCACTGAAAGACATGCTTACTGAAACAGAGCTGGAATCCCATGTCGCCTGCCTTCCTGCTTTATATAGCAAATTGTATCCACATTACTCATGGTGGGCCGGCCCTGTGCAGTTTATTAGGGTCATCTGAACTGGCTGTGTAGTTTGTAATGTCAGCTGCAGAGCCAAAACAATCAGGATTTTATGAAATAGCTAAGTGTGGAACCGGAGCAGCCTTTTTGAGTTCCGTGCTCTGGAGAATGAGGGAATGTGGTGCAGAATCAACACAGCACAGATAATGAATGCGGGAGGAAGTTTATGTCAGACGCGATGGTGTGTTGTAAAGATCCAACTGTGCAATCTGTCTGCAGCTGTGCAGAGTTGCTTGTTCCTGACTCAGAGAAAGCAGCTGGGGCAAATACGCTGAAGGATGCGACTCTGATCAGTCCCCCGACCTATTCAGTCCTCCCTTCAGGGGCCGGTTTAATGAGGTGCAGGCAGGATGGTGGGCAGGGCTGGAAAAACCCCAGCTGGAGGAGAATGGGAAGGGCTGAAGAAACAAATGCTTTGCAAAAGAGTCATCAGAGGAAATGGTTAATGTTTGGCAAAAGTCAGAACTATACCGAAGCTCACAGTAGAAGTGGCCAAAAGAAATTCAACACCTTATATTGCATTTGGCTTTTTATTCTGGATGGAGCTGCTTTTGGATAGATCCTATTTTACTTTAGATGAAAGCGTTTCAAAGTGTCTCTCATGTCCTAGAGATGACGTCTCAGTCTAGAAAGCTTGTTAAATATGGTTTAAAATTTGCACCAACATAGAGTTTGTTCTATGAGGTTTACATCAGCGTTGGAGGCAGGTTGTGACTGTTGCCACAAAGATGGGAATTGTGTTTCAGAGCTGACCAAAAACCGACAAGACTGATTTTGACAGGAAGACCACCATGTATGTGAAATATGCCTGTGTGCATACATTCTTTTGGTTTCATTAAAATCTGAAAAATTAGATATGCATTTTTGTTTTTAGCCCTCCAAAGTCAATACTTCATAGAGCCACCATTTGTCATCTTGCAGCTTCAGGTCTGTTGGTGTTTGTCTTTACTTGTCTGTCTTCTTTACAAAATAACTTGAGCGTAGAGCAAATTAAACATAGGATGTCCGTGTACATAAATTTTCAAGTGCTGCTACAGATTCAGAAATGGATTTTGGCCTGGGTTTTGATTAGGCCACATAACACATGAATATGAATCCATCTAAGGCTCTCTATGGTAGTTCTGGTTGCTTGGGATCATTGAAGTGCAGGAAGATTAATCTCCTCCTCTTTCTGAAGAACTTTTGCACCCTCTAGCATTTTTTTTAATTCATCTGAATCTAGGTCAGTGCATCTTCCCATCAATTCTGACAAGTTTTTCTATGCCTGCTTAAAGGAAACATCTCCACAGGTTTCATGCTGCTACCACTAAGTGTTGCATGTCCAGTGTGTGCATAGCATTTTGCTGCAGTGTTTTTTGGTAATGCATTACATTTTATTTAGGGATAACAGACTAAAGGGGCATAAATACATAAATACAAAAGGGTTTTTTTTCAATAGTTTCTTTCCCATAATGTGTTTTTCTTACTTTATATAATTTAAATCTACAAATAAACAACTTGTTTTGGTCTAACGTATTCCAAAGCAATATAAGCTTGTGGTTGTACATATGTTGAAAAAAGGCTATAGTGTAAATACATTTCCTCGCCTTACTGTGAACTATCCTATCTTACCTGTCTAGTAAAGAGAATAGCTGTATCCCAGTAGTCCGGGTGCTTGTCGTTGTGTTTGTTCATCTTCTTTTGCCAGGTGCAAAAGTTACGCAGCGTCATGGCTGCGTTCCCGGACACTTTGGGACCTTTGTCCTCCTCGGATATAATCACGATCTTCACCACTGTGATGCTGATGGAGTTGAGGATGCTGGGGTGCCTGTACAGCCTCGCTGCGACCGACATCAGCGTCAAGAGGTAGTGCTTCAGGTCATCCCCGTGGAAGCTCAGCATGGACTCGTCCGCAGCCACCAGCGTCTCCACGTACCGAGGGACAGACGCGAACCTTTTGGCTCTGCCCAGCTTCTTCAGTATCGTTTCGGTCACATTGTTGAGGTTCGTCATCTGCTTGTATTTCTGCAGGGATTCCGCGTCTGAGGGGCTCAGGTCGCTCTCCACCGCGCACCTGGAAGCGGAGTTCCGCTTGAGGTCGTTGCTGGGTCTGCGTCGGACGACGTGCGCGTCTTGTGCGCTCCGGGTGTCATTGCGCACCGGGCGGATGAAATATTCCCAACCCTGGAAGCCAAAGGCACCATTCAAACCCTTGCAGAGGCTTAAGGCAGCATATGAACCTCTGTCACCGTTCACATATCCAGAGTAAAAACACCCTCTCAAGTCAGTGCTGACATCAGTGTTGGAGAACCAAAACCCGTCTTGGATAGAGATGGAGGGAGCAATAAAATCTGAATCTTGCTGTAAATCGATCACTAATTCTTGCTGGAAAGCTTGTATCTTCATGACACGCTTTCTAACACTGATATCCAAGTCGTTGTTAAAATCATCCCTGTCGTCATCCAGCCTAATCGGAAAGCAAATCTCACTTTCCATGCATCGAATAAATTTAACAAAGTGGAGGAGAAAAACTGTCCTGACAAACATGTCGATGTTTGCATCAAGTGAGGAACGCTATGACCAACAGAGCAAAGAAAACTAAGCTGAATGTAGGATCTCAGCGGAAGCGGAAAAGTGCACAGATAAGGGTGAAGAGCATTATCCAAAGCGCAGGGCTCTAACACAATGCCACCGGTCGCACAAGTTCACTCAGAGTAAACTCCTCCCGGTCATGATCCATTTTCATGTTCCACCTGCAAGCGCTGAGGCGACCGCTGCTTTCTGAGGACGGAGCGATTCTGTCACATGTTAAAATGTGGACACAGTCTCTCCTTAACCGGGGGGGGGGGGGGGGGGGGGGGGGGCAGTCTCTGGAGGCGCTCATTGGATGCGCAGTTCAGATGAGGACTTCATCTGCAGTTCCTCACAACTCTGTAAAGATTATACTGAAATGTTCTGGAACGATTTAAACTGAATTGAATATATATAACTGGAAATTACATAGAGCAACCTTGAAATGACAATTGCGGTGAATTGATGCTGTGTAAATAAACAGAACTGATTCTATATATTTATATAGAAGGGGTGTAACATATTTGTTCCGGGTGGGAAAAGAGACATATTTCAAAAAGATCTTGTCTAAACAAAGCATCACAAATCTACTATTGTAACTTGATTCTATGAGAATTTCCCAGTTGGCAGCATAAATTATAGGGACCTGAATGTGGCACGTATCACTGACAGCAAAAGCCAAGGCGCGCTTGTTGTTCGGATAAAACACTTGCGCCCTCTAGCTGAGTAAATAGATGCTCTTCGGGTTTTGTTTGCTAAATCCACGTTGCAGTTGGCACAAAGGGAGGCTGGGTGGCAGAAGACATAATATGACCATTACAGAATAATAAAACTGTCATCAGTCATTCAATCACTTTATGTAGAATATATTTTATTAAGTGTTTGACTGTAGTTAAAGCAGCCCTTACATTGGAAATGATAAAACTAAGTTAAAAACTAAGAAAAACTTGATCATAAGACAATGGAGAATTTCAATAATATAATTTCTTATTAGAAAGAAAATGCAGATGGAGGCTATATTTGATTTTCTCTATAACCTTTCTAAAAAAAAAATTCTAAATTTGCTCTTTCTAATCTCCCTTGAGGGATTTATAGGTTTACTATTATTTATAATCTTTATTTTTATTCAATTACCTATTCATTATCCAGTCAAGTTCTCCAGAGTCCCGCTATTGGAGTCAAGTGTACTGAAAGATTTTGTTCTGTTTCGTTCTGATGTCTGTGAAAGTGGTGATGATCACATTTACAACCAACAGCGCCCTCTGGTGGTTGCAGATTTTGTTGTAGCAACGCCACAGAGCGCTTTGTGAAGAACCCTGTTGCTAGGAACGCAACGGCTGTCGCGATGCTTAGGACCCCCGCTCATTTCTTTGTCCACAGAAATGCCGGATTTTAAATATTCATTAACTCGGAAAATATTTTTAAAATATATACATTTATTGTTGATATAGTGCCGTAATTAGTCCAAGCTCTGATGACTTCTAAAGGTTTACGCATGAAAAGTCAAATTAAACGAGTTAATAATGACTTTTATTGCTAGGCAGTTTAGTAGGTCCACACAACCGTTTCTTCAGTTACTCAAAACACAATTTAACATTAACATGGCTCTGTCAGTGTCCAGATGTAACAAAAAGCGCCGTCGTTAGTCTCATCTTGTTTTATGTAAGTACGTTTGTACGTTTTGCTCATAACGTTGACGGCCATCTGTGTTTTCACATGAGAGCTACATTGTCACCTCAGTGTCTGTTTGGGTTCGACCGTTAGCCCGCGGTGGTCCAGATGGATTCTTACCACGTACTGAACCTGGTGGGAGAGGGCTCATTCGGCCGAGTTTACAAGGGGAGAAAGAAGTTCACCGGCAAGGTAAACTTTCCTTTATCCGAACTTTTTATTCCCGTGTTTGTTTGACACTCCGTCTCATTCATTCTGTTGGTTTATGTCATTAGGTCGTAGCTCTAAAGTTTATGCCGAAAGTGGGTCGGACTGAAAAAGAGCTGCGAAGTTTGAAGAGAGAGATAGAAATTATGAGAGATCTTCGGCACCCAAATATAGTCCAGCTCTTTGACAGCTTTGAGACTGAAACCGAGGTACTTTTAACTCTCTGTTCAGGACTGTTGTTTCCACACACACACACACACACACACACACACACACACACACCACACACACACACACACAGAGAGAGAGGAGAGAGAGAGACGAAAAATGAATCAAAAAGTATAACCTTTGTAAGAATCTGCTTTGTCAAAAATCTAATGTTTTTATGATAGGTTGTGGTTGTGACTGAGTATGCTGAAGGCCAGTTGTTCCAGATTTTGGAGGATGATGGAAACTTGCCAGAAAATCAGGTATTCACTGCTCAAAGTCATGGCGTGTGTGAGATCCAGAGGCATCCAGAGTTCCCACAAACACTGGGGGCTTAAACACAGACAGAAAATGTTTACCTGTCTAATAACAGCAGAACTAACTACACCTATTCACTTTAGACTTTTTATAGACTATTGTAGAATATTTAAAAGTAAAATGTTTGTTGTATTTATATAGAATATTTACTTGTAATATTATTTTTGGTCGTCTTGTTAACCAAATCTGATGTATGAAATAATGAGATATGATTACCTGAAGGATGATGCACGTCCTGCGTTACTTCTTTTTTAGGTTTTCCTGTTTTTAGTTTTGTATTCTGGACGCTCATTCTTTCTGTCATAATCTGAGTTTTTTTAAACTGTTATTAAAACCATAATAATCAGTTCATGAACTTTAGTTTTGCCTATGACTTTCTCCACTTGATTGTACATACATAATGCATATTTTGACTCCTCAACATTTTCCAAGGTGCGAGAGATTGCCTGCCAGCTGGTCTCTGCTCTGTATTATTTACACTCCCATCGCATCCTTCACCGTGACATGAAACCACAAAATATCCTGCTAGGAAAAAGCGGTGTGGTGAAGCTCTGTGACTTTGGGTGAGGTTCTTTTCTTTTAGTGTTTAAATGCAGCTATTTCCAAACTTCTTATTTACTCAAAATCTTGCCACAGGTTCGCCAGAGCGATGAGCGTCTCCACCCTGGTCCTGACTTCCATCAAGGGAACACCGCTGTACATGTCGCCTGAGATCGTAGAGGAGAAGCCGTACGACCACACCGCTGATCTCTGGGCTCTTGGGTGCATTTTGTATGAGCTCCACACGGGGGTGCCACCATTCTACACCAACTCCATCTTCCACTTGGTGCAGCTTATTGTGAAAGATCCGATCAAATGGCCGGACATGATGAGTGACAGCTGCATGGTACAGTGCACCCCTTTAGCATCCTAAAGTTTCCAGTCAAGTCAAGTAGAGTGAACTAACTGTTCTGTGACAAGCAGAGGAAAATATATTGATCTGCATGTTAATAGACATAAAAACATATGTTTTCATGTCTTTCACAGAGTTTCCTGAAAGGTTTGTTGACTAAAGACCCACAGAAACGTTTGTCATGGCCAGACCTCCTGCATCATTCCTTTGTTGCTGATGGTGTTTTAGGTAACCCTTAAACCTTTTCTTTTGTCATTATTGATAATATTTGATCATTTCTGTTCTACAAGAAAAATGTATTCGAGTCATTAAAACACACCTGACTAATGAAGCAAGAATTTCCAACTCAGGTTTTTTTAGACAATACAACATTCTTGAAAAACTCAGTCAAGAAAGAATAACATTTCTGCTTTGTCTTTTTGTGTTGATGTCATCACAAGAGGTACAAAAGTTAAGCTAAGTTGTTTTCAAATCCGTGCAGTATTCACATATATGTCTGAAATGTTAACAATCTCATTCATAAAGTTTGAAGGAGATTGAATATCTGGAGATATTTGAAACACCACTGATATTTTGCTCTGTGTTTTCTCACTGTGCAGGCAGAAGCTTGTTTTGGAAGGGTAGATAAAATTTTTACAACAGATTTTGCCAAAACAAATAGAAAAACTGACTGTGATTTCTTTATGTTGGTAACAAGCTTTATATTTCGGACCTTGAGTTTAATAAATTTTCCAAAGCTTCAAATAGTTGTCTATAGGACTCTGTTATTTCAGATTGCTTATATTTCTAAATTTAATAACTTTGTGGCCATGGCAGTGCTGTCAGACACAAACCTCTTCAGCCCCCTGACGGTCACACCCAGCCCAGACGTGGTGGCCATGAAGATGAAGCAAGTGGCAGAAAAATCTGTGCCGACGTCAGGAGAGAGCATATTAATGAGAAAGGCCAGGGAGCAGATGGAGCTCAAAAAGAGAGAGGTTAGCAGTGACGGTGCTAAAGTTAACTAGCGGTAAATTTTAGAGTTTTGTGATCATTTTCAGACACTTATTGAAGCTGTTTGGTGTCACTTAACAGAAAAAGAAGGAAGGATGTGAAAGAGTGAATTCTGCTACAGTAATGGCGTCGCCTAAAGCCCTCTCCACTGAAGTTCCTGCAGCTTCTGGCCAGTTGGCCATGACAGCCAATCAAAGCATGAACCTGAAGAGTAAAACACGTGCCACGTCAAAACAAAGGTTTGTTTCAGGAAACGTAGAAAGTAATGAAACATGTACAACTGAATTATGCTGTTACTCTGCTCATTTTCTCATCAGGGGCCAGATCAGCAGAGACTATGAACAGGAGTTTCCCTCTGTTGAGGTCGGGCCGCGAATCGCCCGCCGAGGGAATGACAGACCAGCCGCACTTCATAGGCAGGTCAGCAATTTTTAGCTTTCACTCTGCTTTTGCAAAACTATTTGTACTTTTTAAGCTTTTCAAATTTTGTCACATGTAAACTACAAACTTCAATATATTTATATTTTGTTTTGGATTTAATGTAATAGGTTATCATAGAAAGTGAACCACTGAGCCAATCGAATGTCTGCTGAAGGGATGTAAATACTTTTACTGCGATTTAGAAAGTATTGAGACAGCTGTCTTGCGAAAAGAATTTATTCTTCCTTCAGGATGTTGCCACTGAAAGGCACCGGGAAAATCTTGTCCAGGAAGCAGACCTAAGCAGGCAGCAGAAGAAGCTTATAAACTACAATGGTGTCATATGTCAAATTAAATCTAGCATTACGGCATTTCAGGTTCAGGTAAGTGATTTCATTTTGTTTCTGCAATTAATTAATGATTCCGTCCTAAAATAACTTAAAGGTTACTCTTGTTCTTTTCAGCTGATAGGTGTTGGTGATATAAATGTGCAGCAGATTGAGCATGGGCTAAAGGTCCTACGTAACTTGATCCTGACCTCTGACCTTGAGAAGTCTCACCTCATCAGCCATGAACTTAAACTACCACAATCCTTCTTTGAGCTGATCAGAGATGCTGTTTCAAACTCTGATTTTATCAAGGTTACTTTTCTGTAATACAAGCACAGCTAAAACAACTCTTGTTTCCTAGAAACCTCCTGACTGTTTTTGTATTTTCTCTTCAGGAGCAGAGGAATGTGCTTACTCTTGGAGAAATTATTAAATTTATTCTGTTCTACTGGGAAAAGCATTCTGGTTGGGTGGAAAAGGAGCCCAGGTCTTTTTCCTTTCTTTTTTGTTGAATACAGCACAACTACAGGCTGACTATTTATTACATACCTTCCTCTGGTTTCACCCTGCAGACTGGAAGAGTTCACTCAGCCCCTCAAGACGATTATCAATCAGTCAAGTCTTACTGTTCTGGCTGTAAGTATTCCCTGAAATCAGTCCAATAAGCACATTTTTATAACATGTTTAGATTTTTGGTTTGTTCTTTGGAAGTAAGAAGTCTTCTTCATCTGTCTTGATTTGACCATGACTTGTGTTTTTCTGTTCCTGACAATATTTTATGGGCTGAAGCTGCTCCTTTTAAATCAGATTAGATTTTGATGCTTCTGTTTTTGTTTTCTAGCCACTCGCTGCTTCTGTTTTATCTCTCTTCACTCTACATGGTGTTGATGTTTTTGTCGACGTGGAGAATTTGACTTCCCTGCTGAAAATGCATCCCTCGGTACCGAGCAATGCGTCACTCATTACAGTCTATTCTTTCCTGCACTTGTTTATGGCATGTTTGTTTCTGTGCACTCCAAGCCTCTGGTGTTACCTCCTCCTGGTTGGGGACTGTATGACGGCCTCCTGTCTTTACTCCTACATGCATTGTCTGAGGTGAGGCGCTGGGGAAAACATGCTACGTTTTCAGGAATAAATCTCTTCGCTTTGTGAGTTTCATTTATTATTTTCCTCAGGATGACAGTGCATCAGTTTCATCTAAGTTAAATCCACTTGTGTTCTTGGATTTGTGGAAAAAAGTTGGTTCTTCGCTCGCAAGCCCGACGCCAAACCTGGACTTGTTTTCAGCAGATGGTAAAACCCAAATGTCTAAACTTTTGTTTGTTTTTTTTTTCATTTAGTATTGTAAATGTTAAAAATGACCTTTTCTTTCTTTTTTTTCAGGAGTTTACTCCTTTCTGTCTATTGCACTGCTTATCTTCACAAAGGACCTGAACTCGTGCATTCCTCTTTTTACTGACAAAAAAACTCAATGTGTATACACGCTGTGCTGCTTGCTGAGCAACGACTGGTTAGTGTTTTACAACGCCTTGCAAAGTACTTACACCCTGAACTTTTCAAGATTTTCTTTTTATAATAGACCAATACCAAGTAGTGCATTAATGTGATGTGGAAGAAAAATGATGCATAATTTTTTAAAAATGTTTTTTGCAAATTAAGATGTAGAGTTTATTTCTATGAGCCAAAACTTTTTAGAACCATCATTTCTGCCCATTTTTCTTGGCAAAATATCTAGCTCTGTTTAGATCTAAAGTGCCTCCAGCTTCTTGGCAGATTGTGCTATAAAATGGCACAATCAACTAACTATGTTGCCTTCAGCTATTATAAAAATGGTGCATATGTTTAAAATAATCAAAAATAAATTTGAAATTGGGAGTCTATCTCTTTAACTCTCCTCCAGCCTTAAGAAGTCATTTGAACTCCACAAGTGTTTTATTTTACTCTGTACACGATGCGGTGGGGTCACACTAACCTCATGTGCGGCATTACGAGTTTGTTTTGTGCGAATGTGGTTTCGGGAATTGACGATCTGACTGGACAACACTCTCCCGCTTCCCTGGCGTCCGACCATGACATTTGCTGCACTCTTCCATGGTTCCTCGCTAAGAAGCTTCTGCTCTCTCTGACACTGTCTTCAGCATGTCTTCATGACATTATGCTGTTTTACTGCCATTCTTAGGACTGTCAGACTGAGAAGTAATTCCTGTGTCAAGCTCAGCAGACATGCGGTTCTACCAGGTGTTTGGTAATTGCTGCTGCTGCTAGTCTGGAGGAGCTTTGTGGCACAGACTTTAGGTAAATAGGCGGTGTATTGTATGAGCAAGCATTTAGGCACACCTGAATGGTTGACATGGGAGACTGAAGAATTTCCCAACATGTAAGACAGAATCAAAGCAACACTCCAGGTGTGTTTTTGATGAGGGAATGACTGTATAACATGACATAAAGCCCAAAACTGTTGGTTTTACATAACAAGCTTCTCCACGTGTTTCATTTCTTTTTATTCCTTCCACTTCACAATAATGCTCTATGTTGTGTTTGACTGTCACTGAGAATGCCAGTGAAGTTTTCTGAAGTGTGTTTTCCTAATTTAACCATTTTGGATCAGAAGTCATAAATCCACAGAGCTCCAGCACTGAGCTAACCGCAGCATCATTTATACCCTGCAGTCCTCTTTTATCAGCCAAGCTTCCCTGTGGGGGCGCCGACATGGAGCTGAGCTGCGACACTCTGTCCACGTTGAGCTGCCACCTGCTCTGCTTTCCGTTTGCTCTGGACCTGCCGCCACACACCATGGCGGCCGTCCTGCAGGTTTATGACAGCTGTCATGTTGCTTCCAGCCTCCTTCAGGTCAGTGGCCTTCTACGTACTAAGGCTCCTATAAAGACCTCAGTGGCAAACAAAAGTCTGATGCAACACACAGTTGCTCTTGCACCATGCTCATCTCTAAGAAGCAATACTTTACAGTTTAACATCTTTGTACATTGCAAGGCAGAGCTGTCAAATGTTGGATGTGTGACTGGCACTCTGATTTTTTTTGTGTGTGGCTTTGCAGGTAATTCAGACATTCCCTCCGTCTCAGCTGGAGCTGCCGCTCTCCCTGCTGAGCCGTTTGCTGCTGTGTGATCCTGACCGCTCTGTGTCCCACATCGGCGGAGATGCTTCTGGCTTTTTTTCGTCAACTCAGAGCAACCAGCCTTTTCCCTCCAAAAATCTGACTGCTGTGACCAGAACTGCCAGCTCTCTGTTCTCTGACTTGCTGCAGCAGGATGAGCTGTGGGACTGTGCTGTGGAGCTTCTGAATCTCTTGTCCCAAGTGGCTCGCTGCTCCTCTCAGCCTGCTTCCCCTGAGATATCCATGGAGGCCGCAGTGCTGCAACAGGCGCTGACTCATCCATACGACCAGATCAGAGCTGCCACATGTAGGTTTGTGGGGAATCTGGAACCATTCAGGGATAATCAAGCACATAGCCTGCAGGCTGACATTTTCAGACAGATGATAGAGGCTCTTAATGACTCCTGCACACAGGTGCGGCGGATGGCTTGCAGGGCGGTGGGGAACTGGCTGGGATACGTTGCAGCAAAGTTTAAAATGGGAGGAAGCTGCAGTGACTCTTCAGGGTGGGGCAAAGAGAACAATCGTAAACAAGCGCGTTCACACGCCGAAGCAGCTGGTGACGCAGACGAGCAGAGACGATGGACAGACGAAGCTCAGAGGTCAGCGGCCTCGCTGACCTGTCTGCTCTCGGACCGCGATGCCGTCACGCGGCGTCACTGCTGTGCGCTCTGGGAAACCTGGTAAATGTCGACGGTGTCGTGTCGGTGTTGGATGAAGAGGTGTACAGCTCTCTTCTCAGAGTCGCGTGCAATGATTCAAACAGCGGCGTGAGAGAAGCTGCAATCGCAGCTCTAAAACTCTGCAGCCAGCAGGATGAGGTGCAGTTAACGAGAAGAGGGACGTCAGCACCACACGATGTCCCTTAGAAGTGTGCTGCACAATGTTTGGACGGCTGGAGCAATAACCAAATCACACTTCTGACTGCTTTGAATGTGCAGTAGGTATATAAACTCCACAAACCCCAGTAAAAATAAAATAAATGCAATTTTCCAACATTTCATCCACCTGGAGAAAGTCTTTTTCCATCTGAAAAAAACATCACCAGGTCATGATGCTGCCACCCCCACATTTCACAGTTTATTGTGTTCTTGTAATTGAAGTGCAGTTTTTGTGTTTGTTCCCAAGTTAGCTTAAAGTTCAAGCTGGGTTTCTACAAAATGTAGCACATTCTTCCTCGAGGTTTTAGGTCATTTTTGTCCGGTCAAAATCCCTTTTGTGTGTGTGTGTTTCAACCATTCTCCTTAATGTCTGAAAACACACGAAGAGCAGAAGAAACATGTAGACCAGAACTTCCAGTTGGTTCTTTACTGTTGATCTTTGGTCATTAGCAACATCTCTACAAACAAACTCTTTAGCTAAAGGATGCAAATGTCAAGAAAAACGTCCCAGAACTGCTGCCCTTTATTTAATGTTACATAATTTTACTGGTTGATGGCAGGTGTGTACCAAAGATACTGAAACTGAGCGGTTCAACAAAGTGGCTTAGCAGATTACTGCAGCTTTTGTATTCTTCTTTATTTTAACCTTGTTTCCAGTTTAGCTGTACATGAAAAATATCCAATTAAAATCAAACAATTCAAGGATTTATCATTTATCAATTTTTTTACATCATGAAAGTTATGTATTTTAACAAAGAAGCGTAGACTTTTTATATAGCTATTTGTTCCACTTCGACTAAGGTGTTTTTCGGGGATGTTTTGAAATTCCTTAAAGCTTTTTAAGGCGCTAAAACACAAACACAACGTTAACTTCAGCAACACCGAGATCAATTATCTAAAAGTCAAACGAAGTCAGGTTTCTCTCAATCTGTTGTTTATGTTTAACAGCTGTTTTCTAATTACATTTTCTCGCGTTAAAATATCAAATGAGACATTCGAGGCTCTTGATTTTGAAGCAAGTCCTTCAGAAAGTCAGCGCGGTGACGTTGATTTACACATCACAACACTGACGTAACTTCCTGAAGGTCTGGCAGGGTAAATGTTTAGAAACATTTTCACTGCTACAGAAACTCACGTTGTTGATGAAACCAGACAATGAACAAACAAAAAAATATATATTCCTGTGTTATGAAACTGTTTTCAACTGTATTGAGCAAATAACAGATTTATTCCGTGAAGCTGAATGTGCCGGAAAAGTTCCTCTGTCAGCAATTCCACCACCAAGTGGAAGACATGGATTAATTAATTACTTCGGTTTCAACATATTTAGATTTCGCAGCATGTTTAATACCTGCGAAAAGATTATTTTCAGAAGGTAATATTAATCTGACAGGCCTGATCAGGACGTATATCCTAATTTATTGAGTGAGACTGTCTGGTTTTCACATGGGAGTTTTGGTTTTATTCTCAGCTCTAGAAAACAAAAAGGCCTCCAGTGACTGTGGTGCATCAGAAATCCACCAACTTGCAACACAAAGTTTTATTTATTTTTTTCTTAGAAGCAATAACGTTTAGAAATGAACACGCTGTATTTAAATCATGTTATTTATTCTATACAGGCTGTGAGCTGCAAGATCAAGAGGATTTGAGAGCAGCATTTTTAATGTCTCCGTTTTTTACTGCTAAATTAATTAAGAGTCGTTTATTGCTAAAATAAATAAATAAAAATAAAGTGTTTTTAATAAATATTAAGAAGCATATTTTACGTGGCGGGGATGCGATGTTTGCTGTCACAGCGGAGATGTTTTCAGTATTTTAATAAAAACTGTCGGATCGGCAAATACATTTATAGTTTCAGAACCGATTGGATCGTAAATTATTTTTCATTCCCTTTTTTATGCTTATTTTAACTAGATTTAAAGCGCCAGCCTTGTGCATGAATAAAAGTGGCCAAAGGAAGAAAGAAAGAAAAAACACACGTTTAAGTGAAAATGCTCGTTGCATCTTTTTGCATTTGCTTCCATTCAACAAGAAACTAAAGGCGCAAAGTTTCGATCGGATCAACTAAATGCTTTTGGTTTTCTTGTCCTTGTCCTGCGGAGCCGCGCTTTAATCTGCAGAAACCGAAACGATCCAACTAAAAAGAAAAAAGGAAGAAAACACATTAAGGTCAGTTCGGTTTTAATTCAGATCCTGCAGGTTGAAAGTCATTTCAATTCCCGAAAGGTGTAAAAAAAAAAAACACACACACGAATTAACACACGGGTTCAAGTTGAAGACGCTTTTATTTATTTATGTTTTCAATGGAAAGTTTACACCACACAGAAAGAAACATACATAGTGGATAAATCGTTTTAAAATGACGAAGAGATACAATGAGTTGTCGGCCCGTATTTTTGGTTTAAACATGTTTTGTTGATAGTACACCGCAGGGGGTTAAACATCGTGAAATCCAAGCCAAAAACAGACAGAAACACAAAGTGCAAATAAATGATTGTCTACAAATTAAATGTGCAAATAAAAAAAGAAAAAGCTTTGTAAAGGAATGTGCAAAAGAGTTTCTATTAGATAAATAAATGACTTGTAAAATATTTCACACCGCTAAAAATAAACAATCTGATGAATTTGTTTCTTTTTTCAAATTTTTTTTAGAAAAAAAAAATCAACACACTACTCCCTGAACATATAAAAAGTTACAAATTAGTGCAGCTCAGCTGGAGGCCTATAAAACTTATTGCCTTAAGCAGTTTAAGGAGACAATCCTCGTTTCTGAATCTCTAAATATTCTGTTTCAGAGAAGGAAAAAATACATTAATGGAAGAGCATGCAGAGAAAGGCTGCTAAAACACCACTAATTACAATATGTGCACCCAAATATAAAAGGTTTTTTTTTTTTCAGTCCAAGAGGGAAATATGAAATCTTACAGAAGAGAGAGGAGGGGAAACAAAACCGAAAAGCTTCAAGTCTGTTACCTCCTGCAATAATTATCTACTGATGTTTGTAGAGTTGGAGGACAGATAATTTATCCTGAGCTGCAAAACAGATTTATTTATTACAAAGTAAACTTCACAGCCACAGCACAAGATCTCAGTTTACCTTAAAGCATTTAGGATTACACTTGTTTGCACAAGATTAATTGAACATTTCTTGCAGCAGTTGCTGCAAAATATTGCAGCTATTTGATCTGTCATATTAAGTTATGAAACAGCAGAGGAATTAGACAGTCCCAAATATGATCATGAGAGCAACACAAGTTGCGTAAAAATATCTGAAGTCATATCTAAATAAGAAAATAATATCAGATTTGTTCACAGAACTTTCTTTAATTTTAAAACTTAACAGTTCTGATTAGTCTGCAATTACATGGAATGTTTGTTAAAGAAGAAATGCCAGAACCTCATTATGTGGAAAAGTTTGTTGAAGCTGAAATGTTTCACCAAAACACAAATACTAATCCATCTACTTCCATAACTCTTACAGCAACTTTATTTCAAAAGTAATAATTAAGAAGGAATTAAGGGAGACTCTTTAGATTCTATTGCTGACATCGATTTCAATGTAAGGCTAAAAATAAATACGTAACCTGCTGTTTAAATGACATTACATCCTCCACCCCCCAAAAAAACCCCAAAGTCATTCAGTAGATTCAGAGAAAGAGGAAGATCTGTTAAAGATGATTGTCAGGTAAAGCGTTGCAGCGCCACAGTGAAGGCTCAGGTGATTTCAGTGCCAAAACCAAATGAGAAAGAATTGATTTAAAAATTCAAAAAGCAATTCACATCAGCAAAGCATGCAGTGGCCCCCGCATCATAAAAACAACACCAACAGAAAAAGGCACAAAAAAAAACAAAAAAAGAACAAAACATGAAACATTCAATTCACGAAAAAACAAATAAAAGTTGCGCATTTTCTCAGCTTTGCCCGGTCTGAGTGTACTTGCAGTCGTGCGGCGTTACGCTGTTGTGTCCTGCTTGAGCCTTTGGCTGCGTGCCTTGTAAACTTCGATCAGCAGGTCTTTAACGTACTGGATTTCACGTTCCACGGACTCTGCCTTGTCTCGCAGCTCGCGGTTCCTCCCCTCTAGGCAGTGCAGCTGCTCCTCCAAAGAATCTAGCTCCGCCCTTTTTCGCTGGCGATACCTAAGTCAAGCAAAAGATGTTGAGTTTTGTATATTTTGGGGGGTTTTTTAATCGCAAGTCATATGAAAACTGTTTTACCTATGAGCGGCGGTTTTGTTCTGATCCCTTTTCTTTTGCTTTCGCTCGCCGCCTTCGTGTGGAATGATGTCTACTTCGTATTTCACAGCGCAGTGGTCTTCTCTTAGCCTGCATGCCTGCCTGTGCCCCGAGCTGTCCAGATTCAGACTCTCCCTCGCCATCAGAAAGCATTCTGGAGCCTGATCGTCAAGGTAACTGCAGTGTAAATCGGGCTGCAGCATCTGCAGACTCTCTGTTTTCACCTGCTCGTTGATGTTCCCCAAGAAGCTGCTGAAGGCCTCGGACTGAGGCGTCGCTGGAATGTAACAGCTTTCACCGCTGTCGGTTTTCCAAGACACGGTGGCCTTGGTCACCTCCACGCTGGCCTTGATGCTGCTCAGCACCTCGCTGTTCGCGGTGCTTCCGCTGACCTCCCTCATGCTGTACATCATCACATCCTCTTTCTTCTGAGGAGCATCCAGTGTTCCACCAAAGCCAAACCCGCCACCAACAACCTTGGCGCTGCCACTCATCACATCTTGGGTAAAGCAGCAATTTTTCTCGTCTTTGGATGAGCCAGCACATCGTCTAAGCTCGATTGCATTACCCAGGCAGTAGCTTTTCCCAACCAGCTGCTCGTCCTCTACGGAGCCGTAATTACTTGTCAGGGCCACAGCAGAATTACCTGAGTTACTTCCTTTGGAACCCAACGCGTTGCTTTCATAGCCTTCGCCAAACCTCACGCTCTCCAGAACTCTTTTCCTACCACACCCACTGGGGCGGCTGCAGCTGTACGGGGCATGTCTAGGAATTTTGGATCGCCCTATGGGCCCACCACAGATGCTCAGCAGGTCCAGCTCTCCGGTTGCCAGGGTAACAAGAAGTGGGTTGGACTCCGATTGGGTGGACGCAGAGTACGAGGCGTATGGCAGTTGACTGAGTGGCTGAGGACCCGCCGGCAGTGGACCCCTGTCGCATTTCCCCAGCCTCTGCCCTTTCTCTGGCAGTGGCTCAGACAGGAAGTAGTCCTCAAGCTGGGCGAGTTCCTCTTGCAGCAAAGAGGTCATGACCTCCAAGTCAGAGGGCACCTGGATATCATTCTGAAGGGGTGAAGGGGGAAGGGAGGCATTGGTGGAGGAGGGAGGGGAAGGAGGATTTGGGAGGTACGAGGAGAAATCCACTTCTTCCGTCATCCAGTCAGTGAGACCATCACCTACACAGGAGGAGGAAAAATGTTTGGAACAATCTGTTAGATGCACAAAATGTTCGTGCTAGGAGGAAAGACAAAAGTTTAAAATATCAAGCTAGCAGTGCAGGCACAATTTGATCGACAATCGTAAATGCAGAACATTTTTCCTGAAGTCGCCCGACAATATCGACAAAACAATCGTAGGTAGTTTTTTACTTACTGTTCAAGAAGGACGAATGTGCTGCAGTGCCGAGCCCACCTGAAATGGGGAAAAATATAAAAAAAACGCACTCGCTGCGACTCACCAATTAAATGCGGGCTCTCCTCTGACACCTCCCCCCTGCACCCCTGTGATTGGCTCTGGTTAGCCTGTGGGTGAGAGAGAGCGAGGGGGTCTGCCGGGCAGACACGAAGAGTCCTCCAAACATGAGCTGATGTTGCCATCATTTTGCCTGTTGACGCCTTGATTTAGTCCGAGTCCGAGCACACGCTGAGAGCGAGCGGAGTCTGACAGATGGGCCACAGAGAGCAGGGCAGGGCGAGCATAATGAAACCTGCAGGGAAGAGGAGGAAGGGATCAGAACGCCGGGCAACTTTGAAGACATCCGGATTGTTCAATCAAATCATGAAATAACCAGTGATAGACAGTGCTTCCTTCTGCAAGCAATGTCCACAAAAATGACATGTTTTGATGAGATGTGACAGGACATAAAATAGCTACAAATCAGAAGAAGTTACATGCAAATGCCCTTAATTAAAGAACCAAAATGCACTATCTCAAATAAAAATGATTGTTCCAAAAAGTGATCTAGAAGACAAATGACTGTCTCCTTTGGATATTTAACTGGCCCTCGAAGCAAAAGTGCAAAAACTTCACACTTCACATCTGAAAACACGTGGGACCTTTCAGTAGTGCTGCCATGGGCTCCACTGTTGATGTAGAAACTCCACAGTAACCATGTGTCTCAAGTGAGAAGCACCCTGGTGGTTAAATGGGATCAATGCAGATCAACTGCCTCCAATCCAGGTTCCTTTTAAATTAATCCTCTGCTTGATCACTTAAACGGTTCAGATTACAGCAATGACCATTTATAGGCTGTTACCAGGGAGTCGGTTAATTTTTATAATCTTACACAATACCTGGATAGTAAGTAAGAAAGTAAGTAAAATCATTTAAAACTGTAACTAAAAAGTGACAACATATCCCTTAATTTATGGGACATCTAAAAGGTTGAATGCATGTATTTACACAAAAGTACGGTTTAGCAAAAAAAAAAAAAAAAAAAAAACTCTTATTGAAGTAACCACAAAAAAAAAAACAGTGACAACTGGGGAAACTATGCGTTTAAAATTAAAGAAAAAAATTCAAACAAAGTGGGAAGTAAACAAGTCAATGGCACCCGATGGTCAGCCACAAAAACAACAACAAAGGGGAAGAAGTGGAAGAGTTTGACTTACTCCATTCTTGCGGGGAAACTGTAGAGCACTTGGGGGTGCGTTGCTAAAGCAAAGCACGACTTCGTTTCTGGTCCAGCGACGTCAACAAGAACTTAAAGAGCCATGTTTAGCTCCGAATAACCCGGAACGACGCACAAAAACAGAGAGGAAAAGATGCTGCTTTGTTGTGGTCGACCTGTAAACTGAGGAGCCGCCTGACCGAGACAAAGCATCAGTTCATTCACACCTAGCAACCGACTGCGTCACCGGCGTAGAACGTGTTGTTGTTGTTCTGCGGAGATCACTCCGCCCACTCCCTCCCTCCGCGGAGGAACACCGAAGGACGGCCCACTCTCCCTCCCAGCTGTTATTGATGACTTGTTTCAAAAGTTAGGATTCCAACATCTCAATTAAGTCATTTTAGACGCATTCGTAGTTTAGTTATGTCAGTTCCACGTCGTGCTCTTGCCGTGAAAACACAGAACGTTTAGTAAGAGAGAAAGTAGTTTTAATAATTCAGTTACTGCAAGGTTCTGATGAGATGTAACGGAAACAAGCTAGCAACGTCAGTTTGTAAACTCAGCGGGGCAGTAGTGTTCGTAACCAGCATCTTAAACAGCGTATCTCCGTAGTGTACATAGATTCAGTTTACCATAGACCACGGTATATTGTTGTAGACGTACTATTTTACTCTTCGTGTTCAGTAGGAGGCTGTTGCAGGTCCGTTGCATCAGTGGTCCTCGCTCGCTGTGATTGGCTGTTCGACGTCCTACTCCGGCTCTCTGATTGGCTGGAATAGGGTCGCTGCGAAATATGATTGGATAGTGGTAGGCAAGGCGAAGCATTAATGTTGTCTTTTTTTTCCCCCTGCAGTGCAGACGATGCACATGTTTCATGTAAACAAACCGGGTGTGGTGACAGGTACAGCACTTTTCCACACTAACAAAAAGCTGCAGGTTTCAGTTTTAAATATTAAAACATTAGTTCTTACTTTTGAAAAACAAAAGTACTTTTATAGATTAAATATTGAGTTAAATTTTCTGGTTATATAATTTTTAAAATAGCTTTTAGCATTATAATTCTAATTTTGACTTAAAAGGTTTTACTTTTAATGTATGCTGATAGTATGTTTGTACCAACTAGCTCATGGTTCCACAAGCAATTTGTCGATGGAAATGGCAGAAAAATCAATGAATAAGACATTAATTGTTCAAGATAATAAATGATCATCCAAATACAGGCTGAGTAGCATTTCTTTCTTGCTAATTCGGTGAGATACAGCCCGCATAGTGACTGACAAGGTCTATCAATAATAATTTTGTTAGAATTAAAGCTTTGTTTTTTTTCCTCTCAGCAAATCCCAAGCTGAGTGTATGCTGTTCTCCTGTTGCTATAGCAATAGCGGACACTGCCCTTATTTTAGACTTGTTTTCTGGTTGCTGTTGCCATGGGATTTGCATCTCTCTCTCTCTCTCTCTTCCCTCCTTACCTACTGTTCTTCCCTCAAATTACCTCTATATCACCAGACGTCTGCGACCATTCCTCCGTCTCATTTGCTGAGTTGCTTTTCTTCGACGTTATCCGTTTGCCAGAATCAATAGGTTTATTTACGGTTCTGCTCAAGTGACAGATTGATAAGCCAGTAAACAGTTTGTCCACTGGGAAGCTTCCAGCTCAGATAATGACATTTGTGCTCAAATTGGAAAGTTGAAATGCACATTGTTCTAAAATACTTCTTTTGTTTTTGCTTTTCTGTCACACTTGCAGGTTTCAAACCGTAAAAGCAATGTTTAATACTGGGAAAGATAGCCTGAGTAAGTAATATACACATTAATCAAAGAATGATTTTATTAAAATTACAAGTTATCTAAACCACCCAGTACTTAGTGCTCTGATTTAACAATTATAAAGAGGCTGGAAAAACGACATCCAATGGACAGTAGGTCAAACAAAACTGAAATAAGTATACATAGATCTTTCTCTTCTTTGTCAAAACAAATCGTCATGAGATGAAGAATGTCTGGCCAATGGTTTTTGACCTTAAGCTCAGTTGCACTTGAGTTATGCAACAAAACTATGATTCAAATCACATCAGCAAGTCTGTCATGCAATAGATGAAAAAAGAAAACAGAAGTTTTTAGTGATTGGGCCTAAATCTGTTGTGAAGCTGTTGTACAAACAAAAATTTTTTGGGTTTTTTTTTTTTGTGCTCAAAAACACTTAAATCTAAATGAGATTTAAGTAATCAAAAACATCTTGATTACAATCATTTAAAGGTAATTCTTGGCCAGATCATTTATTATGGTTAGAAGCCAATAACATTTTTACAAAATGGTATCCTGGTCAGGGTTGATTCTTCCCTGAAATAAATTTAATATTGTAATATCATCTTTGTCAGATATTGGAACATTAAACATTAAAATGTCATAAAAAAAAAGAAGAAATCTGCGAGAGGACAAATACTTTTCTCAGCTCTGTGTTTGTTCTTTTACGTCTCGATGATTTAGAGGCATTTCTCTATTAAGCCTAACATGTTGTGTCTGCCGTAAAAGAAGCAATTGGAGAGATTTGTAGAAAGGCAACCTGATGCAATCAAGATAAATGTGGTCGTAATGGAAACCAGATTGAGATAGTAGTAGCTGGTGAAGTTGGCAGGTCTCACAGGAAACCCCTGACTGCTCTCTCTGGTTGTATTAATTGGCCCACTGAGAGCTTCCTGTTTATGTGTCATGATAAGAGATAGCCAAGGTGCTGCTCATGACAGAGTCGCTGCTTTTCTCCTTTGTCACCACAGTCAAGAAGAACAATTTGGTTATGTTTTTTGTTTTATATTTTGGAAGACTCATGCTCAGAACATCTGTAGGGCTTCCAGGATGGAAGACAGATTTTTTTAAGTCACACAAACTTCACAACTGAAGTCAACAAACCAGCTTCGACAGATTGAACAACGTTAGATCAAACTGATCCTCGAATGTCTTTAAGACATTTGAACATAACTCTTCCATAACTGATGCCCAGGCTAATTGAATATTGTGCATGAGCTGAGAAGTTGGAAAAGTCTACGCTTGCATGCCAAGTGCATGTATGGCACGTTAGTGAGGGTTACAGCATCATTTCATCATCATCTCTCTCAGAATTTATTGTCCTCAACTTTTGCCCCTCTTTGAACACATGAGGAAAACATGTAGTGCAGTTACCACTTGTGAATGGAAGCCCCCTCAGAGGGGATTTGCGAATGTTCCTGCTTGTTTCAGTCGAGTGACTGCTTGCATGTTTGTGCGTTTGGCATGAAACAGGTAATCAATTCTCGACAAGGTAACAATTTAATTTCCTTCATGAATTTTAAAACAAAACTAACCTGCTTTGGTATCGAACCGTGACGAAAGCGGTGACTCGCGGGTTGTGTTTATGTACTGATCCTCGAGGACGTGACGGTAAATTAGAGGTGTATGATGTAAAAAAGCAAAAAACTATTAAGTCCTTCTTTGAGATCCCACAGGATGTCACTTGCTTTTATCAACTCGAACTCCAAAGCGCAAGATTTGTTGATCTGGCACAATAAAATAAACTCCTGAAAGGGATGGTGGATGTCATGTGTCAGCAGCTAGATACAAATTTTGTTTTTCTTTTTATGTTGTGGAAAATGGCAAATAAGATAAAATAAATAAATGAATAAATAAAAACAACAAGAGCTTAAAAAATAAAGTTAGTGTGGCGCTAAGTCCCAGAAGATCCACCCGGGTTATTTACAGCACTCAGAGCGTGATTCAGTGGTACAAAACCCCAGAGGCTCATCGTCTGTCACCTTTGAGCTTTACAGCTGATGTGCAAGATAGTTTTATGGCAGCTTGCAACAAACAAAATATAATTTCAATGATGAAAATCTGTGTTTTTTGAGCTATTTATTACACTTCAGGTTTGTGTTGCAGCTTTGTTTTGTGTTTTTGCAGTTTTTATGTACTGTAACTGGGTACTTCCAGGGAGAGGCTTTCGTTGAACACATGCTGCTGTGCTGAGCTGCAAATGGATAAACGGTACATGAGGTTTAACGAGTGTAACATGCAATATTTTTCCCACCTCTTCTAAAGGGTCGACAACATTCAGCAACATTTTTAATGCAGTCACTTTTGTCCTTTCTCCTACTAAATAAAATTTGTTGAAGCCTGTAAAACCCTTTGAAAATTTATCAAGCCTAATGTATAATTATTATGCAAAAATTATATGATTTGAAGTTCCTTCCATAACTGATGCCCAGGCTAATTGAATATTGTGCATGAGCTGAGAAGTTGGAAAAGTCTATGCTTGCATGCCAAGTGCATGTATGGCATGTTAGTGAGGATTATTACACTCACTAACCAACGTGCTCCTTTTTTTAATCCTTTGTGATATCTTAGACTAATAAAGCTGTTCTGCTTTTAAGATCTTTCTCTTTATATCATCAATAATATAGTTTTGTGTTTTTATTTATTTAATTCCACAATTCAAGAGAAGCAACATTGTTTTTGTTGTGTTAGTTTTGCAACATCTATAAAATGGATGAATTTCCTCATGTAATTCAGTTCCAGATGAGTCATTTATTTAATTTAGGTGCCTTTGAGGCGGGATGAATCTAAAATCTGGAGGATAGTGTCTCTCACGGATTGATCTTAAATATCAGCTTCTCTATTCGGTACTGCATTGTGTTGGTCTGTCACACAAATTGGCAATAAAAAACACTGAAGTTTTCACTTTTAAAATGACAGCCGATCAAGAAAACTTATCCAAAGTAGAGACCTTCAGCTATTTTTTTGAGTAATTTCTTTGCTATCATTCTTGTCATTTCTTTCGTCCTGTTGAATATTTGATAACACTTTATTTGATGGGGTGCGCATATGACATGCCTCTGTGATAAACATGGCATAACACCTGTTATAAACATGAAGGAGTGCTTTTGAATGTTTATGTACTTTTAGTGCAAAGTTGACAATTTTAATGCACTTTTAACCATTCATTAGAAAGAGTGATCTTTGTGACGCAGTAAAACCTGCTTTGATCCATGACGTCTGCGTGTGTGTCTCAGTAAACAGAAGGCGTGTTTAAGGACGGGCATCGGAAATCTTCCCCCTTTAATCTCCTAAATTAATCTGAACTCACATGTGGATCTGAAAGCATATGAATCGGGGGCGCACGCTGTGAAGGCGGTGGAAGCAGAGCCTTTGACATGGAACCGCTGTAAACTTTCTGCCTGAGCTGGCAGGACATCTCTATTTCATCAGGAATTTTTGAGGGTTGTTTTTAGACGGGCCTAATTTCTCCCATTAATGCTGAGAAACTCAAATGAGAGCTGCGTTCATTTTCAGCCGATCTTATTTGAACTGGAAGGCCTGGGGGGGAGAAGGCCTGGTCTACTCCTATGAAATAAAGTAGAGATCACCCCGGCCTCATTAATATTTCGCCAACAATAAGGCGAGGTGTCGCTCAGGCTCGTCGCCGCAGTAATGAGCTCACATTGCTCTCTTAAAAGATGTGTTTACTATGCGGCCGGGTGCTCTGGAGCCTCAGAGATACACTGATGTGTGGAAATCTCTCCCAAGGTCAGAGGAATGCAAATCTTCATAAGGTCGCAGACTGCCTCTCTTCTCACCTGCACGGATCTCAAAAAAGGACAGCGACTCATTTTCATAAATATTACACA